AAAAAAAAAAAAAAAAAAAAAAAAAAAAAAAAAATTCATCTGCATTGACTACTAGAAGGACAAGAGTTAAAATCTAAAGTCACTACAGCTTGGAATTGCAAGATCCTTTATTGCCATTCTTATACAAACAGTGAACTCAACGGTGAAACTGAAATTGAGCATGAAGAGAAGCTTAGCGTAACACATAAGTTTAACTACCAATTCCCTAACTTACTTTCTTAAACTCGTCAATAACCCAGTGAGAAAATGTCCATTAGGCGACCCAGATGAACAAGTACAAAGGCATGGAATAAAAATTACACTGTACCAAATTGCTGCAGTGAAAATTTGCCAATCACTTAAAGAGTAAAAAACATCTGATTAAGAACAACACGTTTGAAAGATCTTTCAGCTGTCTTTGCTGAAAAAACAGTAATGGAAGAAATACAATCAACATGAAATGACTTTAAAGCTTTTAAATTTAATTCCAAATCTGTGACAATGCAGTTTTAGTTCGTAAAACAGAACTATTACCGAGAAGAATAATCTTGTAACTTTAAACTCTGGTCGTTCTAGTAATTGCTAAAGTCAAGAACGTTTCCTGGTTGAAAACTAACTAAAGCATAAAGAACACCTTCTTACTTTAGACCTTAATGAACAATATATTCAGTTAAGTGCATTAACTCACTCATCTTGCACAACTGAGATGTCAGTTAATAATCCGTTTTAAAAACTATATACATCTTTGTTTATTAGTTAAAGCGATGCAGTAGTTGTTTCAGTCGATAGTCGCATCTCTTTACTAGAAGGAATCCCTTCAAAAATAGTCTTTTTACCACGACGCTTCCCCAATCTCTGCTGCTTCGCTGCTGCTGTAATTTGCTGAAAAAAAAGGTACCACTGAAACCAAGCTCGGTCAGGTTACAGATGAAGTTCTTGTCCTGAATATCATGAATAAGTCGTTGTTGAGAACTAATATCCATGACTAGAGGAATAATGCTCAGTTTGACAAAACAACAAGGAACTTACTTTACAGAACGCTACTGGATCAGCACCAGCAGGAAAATCTTTCATTTTCTCGGCAACAGATTTCATTAGAGGAAGCAACCGACGGCAGAGTCTAACTTCCTTATTCCTGCAAAATGAACCTAGCTGCTATGTTCAGCCTGTAATAACGCTACGAAAGAACGTAAAACACTAAAAGAAAACGTGCCTTCCGGCATACTGAAAAAGACCAAAAAGGTCGAGAAGAACTTTTGTCGTAACCTCTCCAAATGTGACTTTTTGAAGAATGCAGTCGGAGAGAAGATTCAGAGCAAACGCATATAAAACTTTGAGATCCTGCTTGATCAGATAATCACTAGAATTAGATAAGCTTACTTTTTTTCTACTTTCCTTAATCTGTGTTCAAATTGGGTAAAACCGACGCCCAACAAGTCTTCAACAAATGGTTTGACACTCTAAGATGGAGTCATAACCAACTAAGAAACTTCGTAAGTAAACAATTTCATAACTTGGGAACAAAACCAAAACACCCCACTGAACGGAAATACAGACAATTACGACTATAAGAAGCTAACTAACTAGTTGTGACAGAAGGAAAGTGTCGAAAAAGTGTGTACAAGAGTAACCAGCGCGTTTAAATCTCCGAGCGCTTTCGCAACAAACAAACCCATAACAGCAATACGATTCGCGTGATATTGTAATGCATCACCGCGATCCAACTCTTGTTTAGCAATCGTGATCAAGTTCTAAAAACTAAGAAGTACACAAAAAGCGCTTAAAACTTCATATTAAAAAACACCTCTTCCAGATTTCAAAAATTGATTTTAAAATAACCTCAAAGACATTATCACAGTTCATATTAGCTTTCCTCTTCAAAAGAAGGTTGTCAAATAATATAATGGAAGCACTTCTTAAATCTTTTTCGTATATTGCCAATTGAGCCAGTCTATAGTACGATTTAAAATGCGGAAACCTGAAGAAAATAGAACCTGAAGAGCAACCAGTCAAAAGATCAAATCCCTCGACTCATGACTACAAGTAACTTTGACGATCAAACCACCAAACGAAAAAACATTAAATGGCAAGAAACAGATTGGAGGAGAGAAGCGTTACAAGAGGCTTCATGTGCACCTCTGAATACATGTCTGGAAGGCTTCTTTACACAGAGCAAGGATTCCATTACACAGGTCAACGCGTTCCACAGTAGAATCAACGCACTGCTCTACATCACTTTTTTCTTCTAAGGAAGCAAGAAAGACACAATTAGTAACTGCAAATCTCACTTCTGGACAAATATTGAAACTGCCGCCCATTTCTTTTCGACACACTCCATGGTTCCTAAATCATTTTGTGTAACTAATGCTCTAAAAAAGAATGACAAAAAACCTGTAAAGACAAAATAACTTCCATTCTTAAAAAAAACTTTCGGAGACACTTGCTTTTCAATATATCAACCAAAACCAAAGTGATCTGATGTAAGATATTTAAACTTTTAAAAACATTTTCTTGTCTTTGCAGAACATTTTGAAAAAGCAGAAACAACTATTTTATACTATAAAGAGGATTTAGATAGAGGAAAAGATCATCGACGCGACAAACTAAGGATTTACTGGAAGCACTTAGCAAACGAAGACATCAAAAGTAGTTCTTCCCTACTCCAATGCCACGACTCTGTTTCTATGATCCACTTAATAAGACACGCATATGCACGATAATGAAGCTGAAAAAAAAATCAATTAAAAATCGCTTTATAAACAGTAATTTGTTGAATATAAAAAATCAATTTTCAAATGAAATAAAACTGTGTTTTTTATTGACATATATTAATAAAAAAAAAAAGAAGAAAAAAGTCGAACTCTGTAGGCTTTAAAATACCTCAACAGCTTCCACATTTTCTTGTTTCTTTGCCTTTATGCGAAGTGGATATTGGACACCTGAAGCCTCCAACTGTCTTGCAGCTTGGTAATAGTGATACATAATCTAAAACAAAACTGAGTCGTACACAAGATGCGTTTAAAATTTTATTAGCCCACTCAAAAGAACTTTAAGTTTTAAAACCGAAGGTTTACTTCGGTTATTTTATGTCCCAATTTCTCATAAATCTTCGCTAAAAAGTAATGGCATTCCCATTTATCTGGATCACCATCTTCCAGCGCAAGACATGATTTTAAAAACAGATCTGCGCTTTCCTCAAGTAATCCTTCCATACACTGCCTGACTGTGTGAAGCCGCAAATCGTCCATTTCAAGCTAAAATAAAAAGTTTAAAAGACCAGTGACTCGGTTCAGATGTAGTTCCATCTACCAGATAAAATCATTTTTACTTAAGAATAACTGTTCAGGTCAAATAAAAAACCTGCTACAGCAACTGACTTAAAACTAGTAAAGCTTGTTCCAGAACAAATCAAACAAAAACCGTTAACAAAATTTGAGAAATGAAACAAAAATGAGATAAGCACTAGTAAACCCTTGAACCAAAGCGCCGTAATTTAGATCGAAACTGATACAGTGCACAAGCAAAGTTGAAGGACAATTGAAAATCCTCTTTATGCTCCAAAGAAAAGGCCAAACGAAAAACAAATATTTTACTTTTTAATCGTTCCAGTATCTCTTCGTCATCTGCCTATAATAAAAGCAAAGCGGAGATTTTAGTAGAGACCAAAAATATATTTTAGAGCGAATTAAGAAGATTTTCAAGATAATAGGGGACTTCCACTGCAAACTACATACTGAAAATAACACCATAGTGCCAGCAAAAGCCATCATTGCCCAACCATCAAACGCCGACTCCTCATCCACATCTGGCGGCAATAGTACGATAAAAAGTTTAATAAAATCTAGGGCTTCATTAAAACGTTGAGAACGATACGAATTTAAAGCCATCAAATAAAAAATATCAGCCCGTAAAGAAGAAGTTGTTGAACATCGAGGCCATGGAACACCCAATGAAGCGTCATGGATAAAACCGTCGAGGAGCTTTACCTTAAATTTGTCGTATAAAAGTCATGAGAACTGCACTTAATGTGCGCTTATCAGCTCAAAATTACGCGTTCTAGATAAAGAAACTGCAGAAAAAGCTGGATGACGAAGGAAAAGAAAGAAACCTTCTCAACCTCCTCCTCTGTAGGCGTCAAAAAAAAAGGGAATTTTTTCTGAACTATCTCAATTAGATCTGGAGCTACACCACCAGAATATGACGGACGACGGTCAGGTAGAAAAAGTGGCAGAATGAACAAAGCGTCTTCTTCAGACGGCTCGTAATCATGAGGCCCGCCGTGATCTTCCAACTGCCTTTTTCTCCGAGTTGGAAGACTGAAAAATTAAGTTGAATGTGCGACAACAAATAAAAAACTGCTCAGGAATGAGTAATGAAACTTAGTACTCCCTAAATGCAAAAATGAAATTCTGCGTAAAACCGCTGACTAGACTCCATAAAATCGTTTAAAGCACTAAAAACCCAAATAAGCAGCTTGTGCATTGATGCACTTCATCCTGAAATGCCCTTAGCTGATCCGTATGGACACCGTCAGTTAGGATTTTATTCACAGAGGGAATATTCCGAACTCGATTTAGCTCGCGAAGAGCATACAAAAGGAAGCGATACTGAAATAAGGCTTCAATTAATTAAACAAAATTTAGTGATTACATTTTCAAAGCAGTTGTCTACAAGAAGTTAATAACAGTTCCCTCCTCTCAAAAAAAGAGCATTCAAGTGCCTTGTAACTACAGCTACAAAAAATATCTCTTTACATTATTTGTGTGACATCCAAGGCTTTCCGCGACCGCATCATGAGCTACTACCAATATATTCAATGGTAAAGTCGGCATAACATTGTCACTTGAATACCGAGAAGTCAGTTCTTCCACTGTCGGTTCACCTTCCAAATGGCGAGCTCCCTCGTACAAAATTATCCATAGCTCAACATCCTATGTTTCTACTTTATTTGGAAAGGTCATTATGAAGCAATTGGGAACGCAATCAGTAACTACAAAATAAACTGAAATTTCGGACCAATTCCGCGATAATTCAAGTTCAAAGACGCATATGGTGAAAGAAAAAACATAAAAACAAAACATAACTCATATGACACAGAACAAGAAAAAAAGCTTATTATTAATCAGAAAAGAACGTTTTGCGCTAAAATTAAAGAATTTCACCTATCCACGCGGTAAAGCATGAATATTAGAGTGAACAAATATTGCAAAACTCGTTTTCGAAAGTTTTTTAAAAAAATCACCGAGTGGTGCGACCCTTCTATAAGCAGTGGTGCTATGCAGTGTATCACGTTGGAAATATTTACTGAGGAAACCATGTCAAAGTTTAAAGAGTGTAACCGTTCCAAAGCTTCATCAGTCCCATCGCTACCTCGCAAGGAATCTAAGACTCTGAGACACAACGTTAAAATACACTGAGAAAGAACAATAACTATAACGTGCTGTAATTGTAAAATATCTCAAAAACCAAACGAGAAACAATTTTCGAATCACATACACGTAATAATAAAGTGAAACCTGGAGATCCAGACAGCTGCCTTATTCATGTCCCCAACTTCAAGACATGAATCAATAAAGATCATTGCCGTTTTAAGTGCCATTTCTTTGTTAGCCTCTTTCCAATCAAAACTGTTCTCAATTATGGTGATAACCTTAGTAAATCACAAAGTATTAGTTAAAAGTCCAGAGCCTCTGAATAATAAATCACTGTTAAGAATTACCTCTCTGAACTTTTTCGCTTTGAAGAGACTGCTGATCCTAGATATATTTTCACGACAATCAATTTGTTCAACCAAAAGTTGAGCCCGACTGGCAGTTATTACTTCGTAATCGCATATCAAAGAGTGGAAACTTTCAACCCTGCTAGAGTTCAGGAGGTTGACCAACATGAGCAAGTAATTACGACGAAACTGTAAAGGACAGTTGTCGCATATAGATTAAAGTAAATATACTTAAATAAGGATTAAATGCAGAACAAGAACATGAGGTCCATATATAAGACACTTCATGCTCATAAAATAAAAAACGTTTTAAATGGTTCACCTTGGAGGTAAAAAAAAGTCCACTATTATGTGCAAGAAGCCAATAAATGCGTGCAGTCATCTCAATAGATAAATCAAGTTTCAAACATTTGTAACACTCTAAAACAGCTTCTTCCAAGCCGTATTCTGCAAGTATAATGCTCAACTTTATTTCTTCAGGGTCTAAGCTGAACGATTCTGCCAAATAGTTATTGCTTCCAGACCGTAATGAGTACCATCTTCGATAACACTGCACAACAATATTATAACTGCAAGGAGTGAATCTTTTCCTCCAGTACTTCTCAGAAATCCAAACGAGGTATCTTTTCAAGGCCGTCAAAACATCAATCTCCTCTCCAATGTAAGAACAGACACTACTTTTACAGGAATTCACTAATTCTTCCGTTTCTTGAAGAAGGGAAGCTGTGGAAAGCACAACAGAATCTGAATTTTTCCTTAAAGATACCAATGCGAATAAACTTGTTATAGTGTTGGGAAGAACACATGCCTTATCCAATAGCTGAAAAAAGTTTCATTTTAAAAAAATGCAACATAAAAGTAAAAATACAAATTTTAATGAAACATACCGATGACAAACTCAAATTCTTCCCGACATCATCCGTTACTTGAAACCCGCTATGAAAACGAGCAGAGCGTCTGCTGAACTCTAAGTCCAGAATTAACTGAGGTTTCTTCTTTGCAAGCCTCTTCTAAAACTACGATTTTGGAAAGGAAAAGCTTTCCTCAAATAAGCAATGAAAGTTGCAGCTAAGACCTATATTATAATTTCAAAGCAAAATAATTCCTTCCAGTAAAAATAAGTGCTCAATAATAATATCAAAAAAATAAAGAAAACATTATATGTTGCGAAAAATAACCATAACGACTTGATCAACGACGTTCTCTACTACACATATAATGTCTATAACAGAAGTTAGAATTCTAAAGACAACATCTTCATCTTTATCGTCCGGTTCCGATTGCTCGTTCTCCACGAAATGAACACGATCGAAAACAGACTAAACAAGTAGCCATGAACTAGAAAAATTTGTCGCTACAGTTTAACTTAGATAAGGTAGAAATACACATCTACAGCACATTTCACTTTCAAACTGCTGTGGAAGACCTGGCCAACACAAGATGCTTATCGGCGGCAACGATATTAACTTCACGAGCCTGAAGCAAGACATGAATCCGTAACGGCTTCTATTTATTCATAATTTTCATTCCGAGATGACTCTATAATTTCTAGAATAAACTTAAAAGGGCTACTCAACTTTGTTAATCTATTACAGAAGGAGTCCCGGGTTTTCTATGCGTATCAGTTCCTCAAGCTAATCTCTGATATTTTTTACGAACCTGTCGCGGTCACTGTAGTGCTCCAAAAACAAATTGTTTATGTGACTATAGTATCCACTGTGAATTTTTTTTTGATTTGCTAATTTTTCTTTTTCTTTTTTTGCTTTTTTTTTGTGCTAGTCCATATTCTTTTTACTAAAAAAAGACTTTTTTCACCCAAAATGTTCATTTTAGAGCCGGCCTGTATTTACTAAAATGTCCTAATTACGATATATCAAACTGTACCACTGTAGTTGGAGAGAGTCAAATATTTTTCCGTATTTGCCAATTCTCGAAGTTTTCTTATTTCACTGATTCACAAGCAATATATTCGTCTTTACCACCAATTTGAAATGTTTGCTTAGATTTTTAATTTAGTGATGAAACTATTCAATGCTTCAACTGCAAGGATTAGCTATACTACCCGTAATTCAATAAAGCATAAGAAACTACGATAGTTCATTGCTTGAGTAATATAAACGCCTGGTCCACAATAAACGTTATAAACGAACGAAAAGTTTCTCGGAACTACAACCGGCTTTCACAGAACATCAACTATCGTGAAGAATCGGCTTGCAACTGAGAAAACGCTGAACTACCTAAGCGTTCTGGCACGATTGAATAAATAGCTCGTTTTAGAGCACTTTAATAACTGTAAGTCGTTCCAAGACGCCGTGAATACATGAAAACCGTTACAGACTTATAATCTACAATCTATACATTAAAAAATTGAAAATTTAACAGTGGTCACCCAATTCTTTTTTGCCAGCTTCCTCAAGGGCACTTTGAAAAGGAAATTCTTTATATGCGTTCATTCTGGACTCAACCTACGTTAAGTAAAACGGCAAATACTTTGAAGTAAAATTTGAAATACTTACATCACCAAACCACTCAACTCGATCATATACGTCGCAAAGGGCTATTCCTATATCTGCCACACTAAAAAAATAACTGTCAGTTCACATTAAAAAAAAATATTTTCATTTAAAAAAGTGGAAAATTCGAAATAAATTCCGTTGTTTTTTAAGAGTTCAAAACGCTATAAGAACTTGGTAAAATGAACATGCCTTTGACACTGTACAATATCAAGATCTGCCAAATTTTTTTCGACACAGCGAATTACTTCCAACTCTCGCCCAGCCCCAATATCTGCCAAAACCTGAAATAGGAGTAATGCGAAGCTGGATTCTATAAATTCATAACAACAAAAAATTTCTTAAAAAGTAATTTGTACTACAGCACAAGAACCATCACCTCTACAACCTGTTTTTCACCAATCGGAGGAAGACTATCCTCCTTCAATGGAGGCCATTTTTTTTCAAAAATTTTATTACACCGCTCTCTCCAAAAATTACTGGAATTGCATATTGAATGTTTAACCACACGTCCCACTGCGTAGTAAGGTCGAAAAGGAAGCACTTCAGATAACTTCTGCAGGCACTCTACAAAAAATTCGTCACTTATATTTCAAAGTTCAGAAGCTGAAAAAGTTTGAAACCTAAAAGACTTAGCAGTATCGTTTACTTGGCACAAAGTATCTTAGTTTTTAAATTTATTTTAAACACTCTATTTCAGTAATATAATAGACAGTAACAATGAGAGCATCAATGCATTAAGCACGATTCAAGAGCATTTCAACTGATGTTAAAAAACTACTCAAGAGACATAAGCTAAGCCGTTAAGAATATAAGAAAATTGTGTTGTTTTTTGAAGGTTTTGAAGATTACGTTTTGAAATTTTCTAAAAAATACAGCAATGTTACGCACAAAAAGTGAATTAAAATGAATATCTCAAATAAGTACAGTATCAACTATAAAACACCTTTGAAAAGTCATTCAAAAACAAATGAGAAGAGGAAGATCAACTGGAACGAAAGTGTAAATTCGGAATTAAACTTATATCCATTAAGTCGAAGGTCATTGCTACAAATATACAAAAATAAACGATTCTACAAAAATAAACCTTCGTAAAGATGGGACATGAAAAGAGCGATGATGGTACCATTTATTGCGACCCAGTCATGAGAACACTTTTGGAAAGCAAATAAAGCTGTTGACCAATCAGATACCTTCAGAGCAGCCTCTCCTACTCGCTTCCAGAGCTGCTCATCGTTCGGATAAATAGTGAGTGCCTAAGCAACATTAACACGTCTTCAGAGAAACCCACTTGGAATTAAAATAAAGAAATTCAAAAAGCAACTTTTTATTACGAAATAATATCATGAAATTATAAAAAATTATAGTCAAAAAATATACCTTCATCAAATTCTGGATGGGGTTTCGAACCAACTTCGATATGTTGAAGTGTAAAGAAGAAAAAATATGTGCAGTAGATGATATTTTTTCATTGTGCGCTCTAATGTGAGCATTTTTCCAGTCAAAATGACCAAATTCCACCTGCAAAGAGAAAGTCGGCCGTAATAAAACTCAAATTCGGCAATTAAAAAGTTAAAAAAAGTTAAAGCAGTTAACCATGGGACAATAAAAAAAAAGCAATAACATACATCATATGGCTGAAGTAACGGGTGTTCCAGCAAAGAGCGCATCAGTGAAAAAGCCTCTTTGTACTTACGATCAGCTAGCATCCCTATCGCCTTCAAATAGTCTGCATGAAGACCAGCCTCCTGAAATAAAGAGTAGCCATTTAAAGATGTTGCTGCTGAAGTCAAAAAGTTATTTAATTCATGCCCGTTTGAAGTTTACGAACCACGTCAAAAATTTGCATTTGAGAAAGAAAAAAAGAGGTTTACAGCAGCCTCCTCGGTCTCCATTTCCTCTCCTGAAGACCCCCAAATATCAACCGTGTCGCTATCCGAACTTTCCTCTTCCTCATCAGCATCATTGGAAGAACTCGATGAGTCAGAACTACTCGATTCTTCATCTGACGACGAGCTTTCGTCACTGACATCGCTTTCTTCTTCATCATAACTGGAGTCGCTAGTATTTTCTACATCGTCCACTATTAAACTTGGATGTGATTCAGCCATTCAACAGTAGCGGCACTAGTGATCTGAGAACGAATAAACATTGAATTAAGCATGGGCAGAGAAACAATATCGTTCATAAAACTCCGCCTGCGTAAATTCTTCAAAACTACTTCTTTAATAAGTGGAGAGATTTCAAAATATAAGTGTCATGGGTGTTCACTGATTACACACCCAACGCTGGCTGTAAAAACGAGCAAAGATTGTGCCCCCTAGCCAAACAGAAACGTTTTAAATGGAATAAAAAATAATATACGCAAACGTGCTTTTTCAGTTCTATCATAATTCGATATTTGATGGTAAAAAATATGAGAAAACCACGTTTTTTTCAAAACATTAAGAGTTTCTTTATTAAATTTGTACCTCCACAAAAAAAAATCACTTAATTTTAGCCTTGAAACCAAGAGATGTTTCAGAATGTGGCTAAACAGTGTTAAATTCCAGCAAGTGAGAAGTCAACCTTAACTTATTTACTCAACGATGATCCCAAAACTAAAACAGTCAGAATCAACCAGCACCAAAATATGAAGCGCCAGACATTCTGCCATCTATGCAATTGAGAGAGTAATGCTTCGTACACTTGAAACTTAACCAGTCGCAAAAGAACGGGAGACCTCAAGAGATGAGCATATTGAACAAAAAAACTTTAGCATGTAAAGTGCAGCTAGAATAAAAGGCAGACTCGAAGTTTTCGACAGCTTTCAACTTCCCTGGCCTTTTACAAACCTAGCTAATGTTCCTGCCACTTGTCCTCGAACAGGCACTATTTAAGACTATCGTGGAGATTATTCTTGTACCTTAAAATCCATCGCCGTTCAGAGCCAAATATGAAAGAAAAAAGGCTGTATACGTTTATACTGATAAAAAAACTTCTAATAAAAAGAAATGAAAGTAATGTATAGATTATCATAAGACTTTTTCTCCTTTTACCAAAAGAAGCGGCAATCATCTTTTCAGTTATCGCACAGATATGACATGACAAAATGTCCTCTTCATCCAAATGAAGTACTAAACTCCTAATAAGCCTGCCTAATTAGTTCATCGGAATAAATGAGAAAAAATCCGTGAACTTGACGAGTGACCGGTTTTTCACTTCTAAGCCGTTGAAATCCGCCTTCTAAATCAAAATTCCTAGCTCCGTAACTCTAAGTGCGTGTGTAAAAAAGTACTGATTAATAACTGAGATCCTAACGGTACTCGACAAACTCTTGTCGCTAGCAGTTCAAAAACAGCCTCAACAGAAAACGGGAAAGATGAAGGAAACGCAAAAAAGAACGCTCTTTTTAGACTGGCAGAGTACTACTTTCATATAAAGCAGCAGCACATATGATATGCAGTGCTCAAACATATCCTTGTGCCTTGTTGGTTGTACCAGCCAGAACTCCGGCCAACAACCAATATTTTACAATTTATGAAACTAACTTCTCTGTAGCTAATAAATGACTACCATCCTGAGGTTATTTAATTTTCCTCTCAAATTTTTAGTTTTCAGAACCCTTCTCTTAGAAAAGTAAATAAAATAAAATAAGAGTTTTCAGTTTTCTAAAAAAGAGACAGGTTCTAAACACATTTACCTACGAGTAAGCCAATAAAGGACACTGCCTAAACAAAGTTTAAACATTTGAAAATTTCAGTGCTTCCAAAGATTTTTTAAAGGTAACCTAATAGTTTAGTTAGTATATGGGTGAATAGAATAAATTAAAGTTGCTAAAGGAAACGAGCGGTATAGACATGTCCATCAGCAAAGAAAATACGATTTCTTTGACGGTTTTAAACCACCAAAAACAAAAAGCATTTCGGCAACGGGTAGCATTATTCTTATAACATGTCCCGACATCTTATAACTCGTTTTGCGGCAACAGTTAATTGTGTTACTGATGATGCGTAAAAGGCTTCCCCTACACCACCAGTACTAAAGACAAATACAATTTCATGTCTTTCTTGCTATGAACTCAAGCCAGCCATTATTGAACAAAGACCGATTTCTACGTGAGATTAAAGGGGAGGAAATGAAAGAACAAAAAGCTTCTTCAATCACGGTGCAAAAACTTTTGCCCTTACACGTATACCTTGGGTAGTAACTTTAGAAGATATCCAAAACAGTGGCAATGACTGCCAAAAACAATTATTTTAAAAAGCAAGAACAACCAATAATTCAAAAAAAAGTGCAGCGACAAATATCGGAATAGTAAGAGAAAAAATTACTGACTTAAAGTAGAAAGTCCCTAACGAACTGACTAATTCTATTAAGCTAATTTTTGTTTAAACCAATTTTAAGAGAATGGAAGGGAAGAAGTGATTCATCGATCCGTCTGTCTGGCTGCTCCTCCACCGTATCTGGAAATAAAAAAATTTAAATAGCTAAGCAACTTGAGTCTTAGCTGTCGGGCCCAGTTGCAAATTCCATGTGGCGCTACTGAACTAGAAAAGTTTCTGGCTATTTTTGTTTTAAAAAATAACGTATAATGACAGTTTTTCAGAGCACATAATAAATTTAGAGCACTCTTCCACTATAGTCATACGCAGAAAGAAAGAAGTCAAAAACGGAGCCTTCTAACTTTTAAAAAACGCAGAAAATATTCCATACATTCCTTTTGTCTAATCTTCAGAATAAAAGTGAAGTCTATTTCTAAATTACCTTAATTTATTCGTTTAAAAATGTTTTTATTTTGAGAATCAAAACTGTAAGAAACGTTCAACCAGAAAAGTGAAATAAAAGTAAGGGTTATTAAATAAACCTTCAGTTGCACTCGGCCGACGCCAAAAGGATACGGCTAAGTGACTTTCTAACAGGTCCTATACCAACTCTTACTTCTTCACTTCCCCCCCTCTATTCTGAAGAAGTTTTCTCCAGTATTCC